TGAGAAGCAGGCCCTCTGAGGGCAGGACTGAGAACAGCCATAACTGCTCGCTCCGCCCTGTTGATCCCCAGTGACCCTGCCCGGCCCAAGCCCTGCACGGAGGCTTTTGCATATGAAAAGCCTGGCCCTTTGCAAACTGATAATTACCTAACAAGCTGCAGCTGGCCCAAGGCCCCAGGGAAACTTGCATTGCTTCAGAGCTGGCTCCTGCTGGATAGCCTCAAGCAGAGGCTAAATTAGCACCTCCTTATAGATCCAGGAGCCAGTGTGCCCGGTGGTCAGAGTGGGACCATCCAGATTGCAGCTCCTCGGATCCATAAAAAACACACTTAGGGGGCAGACTCAGTGAGCACCAAAGCCATATTGAAGCAAGTCTTGCCCCGGAGGGGTGTCTCCAGCACAGAAGTTCTCCCACTGCAGACACAGCTGATTCTCACAGCCAATTGGCCTGGCTGGGGAATATACATTCTACTCAAGTGCTCATGGCACAGATTCAAAAATAGCCCACATATTGGGTCACAAGCAAAGTCTCCCCAAATTCATGAAGATTGAAATCATAAAAAGCATCTTCTCAGACCACGATGGCATAATATTAGAAATAAACTACAATAAAAACAACCCAAAATACTCAAACACTTGGAAGCTGAATAGCATGTTATTAAATAACTACAGGCCCGGTGCACAAAAATTTGTGCACTGGCCGGGGGAGAGGGGGGGCTGGTGGTGGTGTCCCTCAGCCCCACTTGTGGCCTCTCACAGTCAGGGACCCCTCGGGAGATAACGACCTGCTGGCTTAGGCCTGCTCCCGGGTAGCAGAAGGCAGGCCCTGGTCGGGCTCAGAGCAGGGCCGACTGGGGAGTTGGGGTGCCGCCCCTTGTCATGCACAGAGCAGGGCGGATAGGGAGGTTGCGATGTCACCGTCAGTCACGCTCAGGGTAGGGCCAATTGGGGGGTTGGGGCACCGCCCCATCACACTAAAGGCAGGGTCAATGGGGAGGTCATGCACAGAGCAGGGTGGATCAGGGGTTGTGGTGCCACCCCTGTCACATACAGAGCTGGCCGATCAGGGGGTTGGGGCGCTGCCCCCTTTCACGCAAAGAGCAGGGCCCATCACGGGGGTTGGGGCTCCGTACCCTGTCACACACAAAGCAGGGCTGATCAGGGGGTTGGGAAGCTTCCCCTGTCACACACAGAGCAGGGCCGATCAGGAGGTTGGGGAGCTCCCCCTGTCATACACAGAGTAGGGCCAATAGGGGAGTTGGGGCACCGCCCCCTGTCACACACAAAGCAGGGCGGATCAGGGGGTTGGGGCGCTGCCCCCTGTCACACTCAGGGCAGGGCCGATCAGGGGGTTGGGGCTCAACCCCGTCACACACAGAGCAGGGCCCAAGGGCGGAGTTAGGGCACCACACCCTGTCACACACAGAGCAGGGCCCATAGGGGGTTGGGGTGCCTTCTCCTGTTATGAACAGAGCAGGGCGAATAGGGAGATTGTGGCCCCGCCCCCTGTCACACATAGGGCTGCAGAGCAATTAGGGGGTTTGGGTGAGCTCCCCTGTCACACTGCTCCAGGGGCCAGGAGGCCTAGCAGCTCCACTGACCCTGGTGCTGGGAGGCCTCACGGCTCTGCTGATTCCGGGTTCAGGAGGCCTCGCGGCTCTGCTGATCCCGGTGCTGGGAGGCATATTACCCTTTTACCATATAGGATAGAGGA